CTCCACCATACTTAAAAATTCATGTTCCTGCCAAGATATCTTACCAGATACAATATAATAATTTATGATTTTTTTCATTTTATGACCTAAACTGTACGCAAAAGGATATGATTTATGTAGCTTCTCCAAGAGCTGTATTTCGACCCCCTATACAACAGCTAAAAAATTAATACTGCCACCATATTAAAAAAAAAAGAAGGAAGAAATCACGCTTGAGCCCAGAGTGGCAAGAGAAATCCCACCATTTTGAATGTGTTTCCTCTAAAGCTTAAGGTCCTCCCATCAATTAAAGTTAACATATAATTAACAGTGTTTCCAGTGGAGTCACAATGTAGGTTTGGCATTGCTACCACAGAATACACCACACTGCATTAGTAAACATGCAATTAGGTTACATCACTCTTGTCTAGTTCATCAGAACATTCCAAGGTAATGGCACAGAAAAGGCCTTCCCACTACATTCGCTATTTTCGTGCAATCCACGCAAGAGTCCAAAGCTTGGATTTGGATCCAGACTAAAACTAAGCTATCCAGTCTTTCTTCTCAAAGGAGGGTGAAGAAAGAGGAAGTTGTAGTGCATTTTTCATCAGTTTTTTAATATGCTTTTTATAAGATAACTCATTGGAGAGAATATTCACATGTAACATGAGACCAAGGTTTAAATCTCTCCTCTATAGGATTTGCTAAGAGAACATGAATACAGATTACACTTAGGAAAATCACGCGCTTCTTGGCAAGCTTTAGAGCCACTTTCACTTTCACCATGGTATAATAAATATTTTCTGATTGTATACAAAGTTGAATAGTTGCTTCAGGGAAGTCTGAGAAGCCAAGTGATTAGCATGCTCTTCTGGGACATGTGAGACAGACTGAAAATCCTCTTCCAAATCAGAGTGTGACCCAAGACATTTTCTGCGCTTGAAGAATGTCTCAAGCACTGAAGTAAATAATTTCTATGGTAAACCTAGTGAATATTTATATATTTCCTGAAATAGCATGGGCACGAGAGTCACAGCAATCATCTCCAGCATTTTTTTTCAGCCTAGTGCTCAGGAAGCTAAATCTAGCCCACCCGTATCCTGACGGTGCAAGTGTCCTGGGCGCACCCAGCTATTCTCAACATCAAGCAGTGGCGGAAATGAAAGCTACCTTAGCTTTAGGTGCCTACAGGAAGATCTTGTGCCTAAGGCGGTACTTTGAAGATGCTGATGGTGTTTAAGTAGGGATTACAGTAAGAACCATCACTGTTTAACTGTGTAACTTGCTCACAGTCATAAGTGGGTAATTTTTGTGGACAAGAACCCTCTACCTTCAGAGTCCAAAGGACTGCTCCACACACTAGACATAAAAGACCGCTCCAATTACTAGACATTCCTTCCATCACCATGTGCTGTATTAAAAAAATTACATTTCAACTTTTGAAAGTCTAAAGAACTGGACGGGGGAAAAAAAAGGTAGTGTCATAGGCAAGAATATAAAGTTGCACGTGATAAATTCATACTGAAAATCGGAAGAAAAAAAGAAATCCATGACTCTACATAAGTATGTACAATTGAAGTTGCATTCTCTGATGTGTATTTATTTATTTTTGTATAAAACTGTGTTTAATGAGAACCAGACTGGGCCTTGTTCTCTTGCCCGTTGTCCTAAAATGTACGTCAAACCATTTTAAAAAATCAACAGGTTCACTCATGGCACAGTAATTCTGTGGGCAAATGAAGCAGCTATTATATGATCAATAACAGTTTACAAGGCACTTAATGTCTGCTGTATTAAAGAGAAAAGCAGCCCACATCCCGTACTATTTATTTACTGTAGTCCCAAGAAAGGTCCAGAGTATAGTTTCACGGTCACACCCAAACAATAAGATCTGCAACTATGACCCATACTGCAAATCCTACAAAGAGATATTAACATTTGACAGAAGCCCAAGCTTTGATATGAAAGCAATTGACTTTGTCTAGGCTTCACTATCTAAAACATACTATAAAGGGATAAAGGATGGGTTTATATGGTTTGAGATAAGCCAGTAACTGTTTTCTGTATCTGTAGTATACATTTCACTGATCTCTGCTCCTACAGATACAGGAATAGAAATGTGTTATTTTCCTTGTAAGACTGATGTAATTAGGTGTGATCTCTGTGCAGGAATATGCATTTTTCCACAGATATTTGCATTTTAAAACAAAATAACTAGCTTCTAATTCTAAGAAAAAATATTATAAGAAAAATGGTTTTTATAGCCAGCTCCACTTCAGATATTACTGAAACCTGGTTTGCTTAATAATTAAGAAATCATCTAGATCTAATAGTAGTTATTCTACAAATACTACAAACTCAATGTAAGAAATAACAATGCTGCTAGGCTGGACAATTTGGCCTTTGCATTAACGGTTTGACCTCCTACACTAGGCAATCAGGTGTCTTCCAGTAAGCTGATACCTGACACCAGCTACAAAGACTAGTTGTGAATGGGAATTTGATCCACTATCTGCTACTCTAGTCTTTGTTATGCTGGAAATTCATGCAGAAAACACATTCCAGTTCCCACTCCAGCAAATGATGCCTAAATTATCCATGAGACTGAGTCCTTCCATTCCTGCATCCACTGAGAAGAGGAAAGGGGCTCCTTTCTGGGCTGTATTAAGAAGTGACAGTCATTTGCCTTTATTTGATCTTTTTCAGACACAAGCTGAGAATAAGATGCAAGAGGATTCTGTACTTAAGAATTGTCATGAGTTGAAGTAGTACTTTTTTGGGGAGTGGCGGTTTGAATACTAAATACAAATGCTACAGTCTGGCAATATGTGTTTTACATGCAAGACACTGAAGGTACGTTTTGAGTTCCTTTTCAGTTTTCCCCAGAAAACTGGAAGAAGTTTTTTTTCTGAAGAATATTATGAATTATCTGATAAACTATTTCAGCAGTGGGACATAACAATTTGTGGAAACTAAAGACTTTGTGTGAAAATCTCCTGAGCTGAAAGAAACTGTACAGGACAGAATCTGAAGAGGGAACAAGCCTAGAGGATAGACAATCGTTTGAAGCATCTTTGCTATTGTTTGTTTACTGTGTTTCCTTTCTTAAGTCTTTTTAACGTGATTTGAAAAGGGCAAGTGTGATATAAATCAAAAATTCCATTTTTCCTGTATTTGGCTCATACCTACAAGGGTTCCTAAGAGAGAGAAAAGACCCATGCCTCCTGTAATGCAAGATTTTCTCCTTTTTTGATAACTATAAGGTGGCAGACAAGGCTAATGAGGCACCAGAACCAGCTATTCAACACTATTAGAGAAAAAGACAGCAAAGGAAAAATACAAACTAGCGTAACAACAGTATTTTCCATGAGGTGTCAGCAGAAGTATCCGAACGTATTGCTAAAGCCTTGCAAGCGCTTTTTCAGGCTGCTAAGCAGTTGCAGAGGAACAAATTTCACGTGTGCGATGTAAATAACCTTTCATAGTTTATCTTTTAGTTGCTCAATACTCAAAGTGGATTACTGCTCA